GGCCGCCTGCTGGGGATGTGGATGTGGATGCGGAGGAGTAGGAGCCGTGGTGGCGGTGGGAAGGGGAGGGCTGGGCATAGGGCAGAATTTGCGAGTCGTAGGCTGACCGTTTGGTGGGCGAGGAGAGCGTGGCGTACGCGTTTGAGATGGCTACGAAGCGCTGCGAGGCGGACGGGTCGCTGGGGTTTAGGTCTGGGTGGTGGGCTTTGGAGAGGGCGTAGAATGATCTGTGGGTGGGGGAGTTGTGGTTAGTTGGGATTGTGTGGTTGTTGGAGAGGAGAGAAGCTGGGGGGAGGTGATTTGAGGATTGGGATTGGGATTAGGATTTGAAGGGCAGAGAGGAGCGAATACTACGTACTTCTTCACCTCGCTGGCCGATGCATTGGTTGGTATTTGCAGAATCTCATAGTGATTCGGCTGCGGGATAGCATCTCGGCGGATAGCAGTTGTGTGGAAGCCCGGACGGAGGCGTGCTACGAGGGGAGAGGAGAAGGGAAATAGACGGGGTGGCATTCCTCATCCCGATTGTTGGTTTATGCGGACTTTCATTTATCTGAAAAGTGGAAAACTAAGATACAAGTACCAGTACTTTGCTTAGTGACGGCATTGAAGCGATGCGATTTCCTAGAATTCGGACTAGGCTAGAAGAGGTAATCGTAAAACAACACATCTGACCCACATCGCCTGCCGTATTTTTTACCCCTCCATGAAACAACAGTACCAAAAATCAACACCATTTCCGAAATATTCAATTCTTCTTCCCCCAGGCTATTGTGAGATTCGCAGACTCACATCTAAGTATTAGTTGAGGGTGTCTGAGAGCTTGGCTCCACGTGAGACAAAATGGCGGCTCAAGCTGCTGATGCTCTTGCAAACTTGAAGGGTATGCCTTTTCCCCTCTTCTATATTTTCTACTAGAAATCTAGTCTACTAGGATTATTACTAAACTTTACCTACAGTCAAGGACCCAGAAGCAGTCATGGCATCCGCGGCTGCGGCAAAGGCAAATGGAAACGGAAACGGCAATGCACTAGAAGCGGAAGACTCGGACGACGAGGACGACGAAAAGACGCCTGGAGGAGGGGTAGCAGATGGAGGAGCAAAGAAGAAGAGAAAGCGGAAGAAGAAGAAGAAGACCGGTGGGGCGAATCCTACACAGCAATCCTCCCCTCCTCGAGTCCTTCTTTCGAATCTCTTTCCTGGAGAATATCCCGTTGGGCAAGAAGTAGACTATAAAGATGAGAACCTGTACCGGACCACGGATGAAGAGAAGAGGCATCTGGACCGGATGAACAATGACTTCCTACAAGAATACCGACAGGGTGCAGAGGTCCATCGACAGGTTCGACAATGGGCACAGAAAAATATTAAGCCGGGTCAGAGCTTGACTGAGATTGCTGAGGGTATTGAGGATGGCGTTCGTGCGTTGACTGGTCACCCAGGTTTAGAAGAGGGAGATAATATCAAAGGAGGTATTGCTTTCCCCACTGGTGTCAACTTGGATCATATTGCCGCGCATTACAGCCCCAATTTCGGAAACAAGACAATACTGTCCAAGGACAATGTTATGAAGGTCGATTTCGGTGTTCATATCAATGGAAGAATTGTTGATAGTGCTTTTACGATGTCATTCGATCCAATGTACGACAACCTTCTGGAGGCAGTTCGAGAGGGAACGAATACTGGTATCAAGGAAGCTGGTATCGATGTTCGTATGTCAGATATTGGTGCTGCAATCCAAGAAACTATGGAGAGTTATGAGGTTGAGATCCGGGGCGAGACCTTCCCCGTCAAGTGTATTCGCAACTTAAACGGGCACGATATTCGACAGTGGCAGATTCATGGCGGAAAGAGTGTACCTATTGTCAAGAGTAACGACCAGACGAAGATGGAGGAAGGAGAGACGTTCGCCATCGAGACCTTTGGCAGTACTGGAAATGGCTATGTCCGAGACGATGTGAGTTATTCCTGGATATTAGCTTGGGCGTATGCTAATTCTCACTAGTATGAAACATCTCACTACGCAAAGCGCGTAGATGCGCCAAATGTACCTCTTCGGATCACATCTGCAAGCAAGCTTTTGGGCATCATTAACAAGAATTTCGGAACTTTACCATTTTGTAGAAGATACTTGGATCGTTTAACTCAAGACAAGTATTTACTTGGGGTAAGACTCATACAGACCTGTTGCGAGGCTGGATTATTTGATTCCCACTTGCTAATAATAATCCAGTTGAACAATCTTGTTTCTAGCGGTATCGTTGAAGCATACCCGCCTCTTGTAGATAAGAAAGGCTCCTATACGGCACAGTTTGAACATGTAAGTGATCCTTCTGAAGTCTTGGCCGTGTGTGGCTTTCGCTAAACTTATTTTTAGACGATCCTTCTGAGGCCAAACGTGAAGGAGGTTATTAGTCGCGGCGACGACTATTGAGATTGAAGCTATCGTCAAGAATGTGGAGGAGGATTTGCATCCCGACAGAATCAAAAGGACGGTAACGCCGTGACTGCTACGTGCCACGAGATGCCAAGTGCGGAGGTATCTAATCTAATGTATCTCTGCGCTTGTATTAAACATTGAGCAAATGCGGCACCGAATAAGTCATTTACCGTATGGAAGTTCTGATCCCTTGTCAGATTTGTGTTTGATATATGCTGCGGCCTTTGTGATCTACTATTCCCAAACGGACCATTACTTAGAGGGGTCAGCCAACGGCACGTAAACAATGAGGCTGAACACTCGGTATATATGCATGGGGTCCTTACAGTACTGCACTGAATCAGCAATACCTTGGCGCCAAGGCGCCAATGGCGGCAAAGTACGGAGTAATGGTTACGTACACTCGCTCTCCCCGTACAGCACTAGGACGAAAGGCGTGATTTCCTTATCGACTGGTCTTGGCTGCATTGTTCTAGAAGGCTTGGAGAAGGCAGCCTAGTGGCCCATAGCGGTATAGTGGCACCTGCCAACCTGCGCATTCCCCACATAGTTCCTTGGGGATTTCTTGGGTTAGGCGAGTCTATTGGTCCACTACGCCCTTGTGATAACAAATGTCTGGGCGCCCAGTCGGCCTGCTGCGTGCGCAAGGAATCTGTGCCCGGGTTACGGTCCTGTGATGAGTACCTAGGTAGGTACTGTAGGTATACTCCGTAGAAGCACGGAATCCAACTCTATAATCAGCATGGCCGGTGCATGGCGGGGATCTAGCGGGTCCTACTGTACGGCTCAGTACAACACTCTATCACATACATGTAGAAAGTAGTAATTGCCAAGAGTTTTCTCTTTTTTATATAAGTATAAGGCTGTGGACCCCTTATTTTGGTTCTTGCATCTCATCTCACATCTAATTCCTCAACTAATCCCAACACCTCCCTCATCTCCTCCTCTCCTCCTCTCCTCCTCCCTCCTTTCCTAAGGCTGCACCGCAAGCATGTCTGTCGCCAAGCATCATTACCCGTCCTCGGGCTCGAATTCCCCAGAGCCAAAATATCCTGTAGATGTTGACATTGAGACGGCGGACCGCGAGGAAGGCGAAGGTCATAATTTACATCGTGGACTGAAGTCTCGCCAAATTACTATGATTGCTATCGGAGGAGCGATTGGTACTGGCTTGATCATTGGAACGTTCGTTCTACCTACCTACCTGCCTCTAAGCTTTATATGTGAGAGAAATCTGACCTGGCAATGTGATTAGTGGAAAGTCTTTAGCTCAAGCTGGACCTGCGCCGCTCTTCATTGGTTATACGATAGTTGGCTTCTTGTGTTTCTTGGTTATGGCTGCGTTGGGAGAGGTACGTGATTGTGCCAGAGCTTGGCTTCCAAAGACTGAACTTCCCGACATCTTGCTAACCAACTTGACATAGATGGCTGCTTGGCTTCCCATGTCTAGTGGTTTCACTGGTTATGCGACGAGATTCTGTGACCCTGCACTTGGCTTCGCTCTGGGATGGAATTACTGGTTCAAGTACATCATTGTCACGCCCAACAACCTCACAGCTGCATCTTTGGTTATCCAGTACTGGGTTCCACGAGAGAAGGTCAACCCAGGTGCATTCATCGCTGTCTTCTTAGTCGTCATTGTCCTCATCAACTACTTTGGAGTCAAGTTCTTTGGAGAATTCGAATTCTACTTGTCTAGTATCAAAGTTCTTGTCATTCTAGGGCTCATTCTCCTGAGTTTGATCCTTGCATGTGGAGGTGGACCCAACCATCATGCTACTGGCTTTCAATACTGGAAAAACCCGGGTGCTTTTAAACCATATATCTTGAGTACATGACTCCAAGTACGTCTTGAGGAAATACACTAACGATTATCAGAGGACTCTGCTGGAAGATTCCTTGCTGTTTGGTCGACCTTCACCACTGCAGTGTTTGCGTACCTAGGAACTGAATTGGTTGGAGTGACTGTCGGTGAAGCAGCAAATCCACGCAAAGTCATCCCCCGTGCTATCAAGCTCACCTTCTACCGAATCCTGCTCTTCTACGTCGTCCTTGTCTTCCTTTTGGGAATGCTCGTGCCATACAACTCCAAGGACCTCATTGATGCCAACAAGAAGTCATCCAGCACTGCTTCCGCATCTCCATTCGTCGTCGCCATCAAACTCAGCGGGATCCCGGTCCTGCCCGGTCTTTTCAACGCCTGTGTCCTGATCTTTGTTTTCTCTGCGGCAAACTCCGATCTCTACATCGCATCCAGAACGCTTTACGGCCTGGCTCACGAGAACAAGGCTCCTAAGATCTTCGGCAAGACTGACAAGCGCGGCATGCCCATCTACGCATTGGCGCTTTCTACCGTCTTCTGTCTGTTGGCCTTCCTCGGTTGCAATACATCTTCCTACACCGTATTCGGCTACTTTGTCAACCTGGTCACCATGTTCGGTCTCCTAACCTGGATCTCGATTCTCGTCTCCCACATCTGCTTTGTGCGAGCGCGTCGCGCGCAGAACATCCCCGACACCGCGCTGGCATATGTCGCTCCCCTCGGAGTCTACGGCTCCTACGGCGCGCTGGTATTCAGCTGCCTGATCGCCTTCTTCAAAGGCTTCGCTCTCTTCTGCTACAAGAAGACAGCGACCAAAGGCACGACTCCCGAGTTCGATACCCGGACTTTCGTCACCACGTACCTGGGCATCCCGCTGTACATCATCATGATCTTCGGTTACAAGCTCATCATGAAGTCCGAGACGGTCAAGCCCGAGACGGCAGATCTGTACAGTGGAAAGGCCAAGATCGATGCAGAGGAGCAGGAATACCTTGCGGCGGAGGCGGCGCAGGCCGGTGGGCCCGAGTCTAGGGGACAGAAGATCTATAGACTTACTCTTGGGTGGGCTTTCTAGATGTGTAGTGTGATGTAGTGTGATTAGATGAGATATGATATGAAGTAGACGGCGCTAGATATGAGAGGGACGGAAAATGGAGACTTTAGATGCCTTTATTTCTTCATTCCTTTCCTTGTCTTGTCAACATGGAGTTGCATTTGCATTTGAAAGCATACCCAGTACCCAGGATGGCGTGGCGTGGCGTGGCGTTTATAAATAGAACTGGTTGGCGGCGTTCAACAGTAAGCAAGCAATCAATCGTTACACAGTCAAATTTCACTTCACTTCCTTCCCCCACCCATCACATCAAACACCGCTCTCCCTCCCGTCCCAATCCCAATCCCAAGCTCGCCTCGCCTCCCTCCCCACTTCAACCAACCAACATCTACGTATCCAGTGGAGCCCTAAACGCGCATTTGTACGGATAAATCTGAAGCTATTAAAATTAGCCATCGCCCTTGTCTCCTGCCTCTCCCCCCTTCCATCCCCTTTCCTCTTTCTCTCCCTCCCTCTTTCTTCCCCTCTCACCCCAACCCCAATCCCAATCCCAAACAAAGAAAACCCAACAACACATCTAACTAAATAATAAATAGATAAAAGAAGGTAGGTACACACCTTACTAAAATCCCACACCTCATTCTCGCTATATATATCCGCCTTCAACAACTCGATGATCTCTTCCTTCGACGCCGCCAGACATACCATAGCGCTGCCAGCGAACGCTAGTGGTTCGTCTGCGAGGGGCGGGGAGGAGAGGATCGCGCCTGTGGTTTTGCATGAGAAGGAGAAAAGAATTGAG